TAATTTTTTAATTTTTCCATTTATTTTGCATTTTAAAATTATTTTTGAGAATATGTCTGTGTAATATTCTATTAGAATATTTCACGTATTTTTCAAAAAAAATGAAATTTTTTTTTTTTTTTTTTATATTTTTTTGTTAATTCAAGTTCCGAAAATAATATTTAAAAAAAGAATTTTTAGATTTTTTCATTTATTCTGCATTTTAAAATTATTTTTTAGAATTTGTCAGTGTAATATTATATTAGAAGATTTCACTTATTTTTCAAAAAAAAACGGAATTTTTATTTATTTTTTTTTATTTTTGTTTTTATTAATTCAAGTTCCAAAAATAATTTTAAATTTTTTTTTTTTGGATTTTTCCATTTATTTTGCATTTTAAAATTATTTTTAGATTTGGTCTCACGGTCTTACAAAATTAGCGTGGTCTCAAATGAAACTGAACCTATATATATATATATATATATATATATATATATATATATATATATATATATATATATATATATATAGGGTTAAGTTCATGTGAGACGGTCTAATTTTGTGAGACCGTGAGACGCATTTTTTTATTTTTTTTTAATTTTGTTTAGTTAATTCAAGTTCCGAAAATAATATTTAAAAAAAGAATTTTTTCATTTTTTCATTTATTTTGCATTTTAAAATTGTTTTAGAATATGTACAGTCAAATATTCTATTTAGAATATTTCACGTATTTTTCAGAAAAATATGAATTTTTTTTAATTTTTTTTAGTTAATTCAAGTTCCGAAAATAATATTTAAAAAAAGAATTTTTAGATTTTTCCATTTATTTTGCATTTTAAATTTATTTTTTAGAATATGTCAGTGTAATATTCTATTTAGAATATTTCACGTATTTTTCAAAAACAAAAAAAATGGGATTTTTTTTAATTTTTTTTAGTTAATTCAAGTTCTGAAAATAATATTTAAAAAAAGAATTTTTGGATTTTTCCATTTATTTTGCATTTTAAAATTATTTTTAAATTTGGTCTCACGGTCTCACAAAATTAGCATAGTTACAAATGAACCTGAACCTATATATATATATATATATATATATATATATATATATATATATATATATATATTATATATATATATATATATATATATTCATTGAAATAAATTTTGAATTTTTTTAAATCCTTTTTAATTTTTTTTCAGCGAAAATATAGCTATTATGCAATTTTTTATTCATAAATTTAAAAAAAAAAAATTAGATGTCTCAATGTATTTTTTTTTATATATGTATCAGTTTATTTTGGATATATATATATATATATATATATATATATATATATATATATATATATATATATATATATATTTGGTATGAGACCTTGTATGATACGGGTTGATTAAACTCATATTTTCATTTAAATATTATTACAATTTATCATAACTGGATTAGTTTATGCCAAATAATAAAATAATTATAATTAGATTATTTTATATGAATTTTGTAAGATATATATTAAGCATCTTAAAGTTTGTGGTATTTTCGCACAAATCCAAACACCTCAAGACACTATTGCTTCGACTTAAAATATAAGTTGGGTATATGTTTATTTGTTTTTGAAACATCCAACTTAATATCATGAAAACACTTTAACAAAAAGTTAGAAAAACAACAAATTACAAAGAGTTTAGAAAACATTGCAACGTGCTAGTGAATTTAACAGTGTAATTCATATTTCTATTGGAAAACTAAAAAAAAAAAACCAATAGAATCTAAAATATACGGTCTTCTCATTTTTTTCCCAGCAAAAAACTTTGTAGTTCTAAATTACAAAATATATTACAATGTAATCACCACTAAGGATAGGATTTAGAACCGAAAAACCGGATCGGAACCAGGATATATAGAACCGGTTCCGGTTCCGGGTTTAAAATTTTGCGTAATCCGGGTTTTGGGTAATCCGGGTTTGGGTTTGGATCCGAGTAAACCGGGTCTAAAAACCGGAATCAGTGTTAGGAAACGGAACCACTTTTAGGGCCATAACCGGTTTTTGTGAAACGTTTAAAAGATGCATATTTAATTCGTTTCAATTCCGATTGACATGCGTTTTTTCTAACGTGTAATTTAGAGTTTGTACATGATTTTAGATTATAAATTTTCCATTTTTAGTTTTATATTTATTGACTTACAGTCCCCGAAAGTCGAGATATCAAAGCTGAAAGTTTTTTAAGTTTTTAAGTTTTTTTGTATTCTCTGAAACTTTTAAAGCATGCATATCTAATTAGTTTGAAGCCGGATTGACATGTGGTTTTCCCAAATTATAGTTAAAGTTTGTACATGAGTTATACTATAATTTTGTCATTTTTAGTTTTATATTCAATGATTTACAGTCCCCGAAGTCAGGATATCTAAACTAAAAAATTTCAATTTTTCAGTTATTTGTTTTTGTACTTTGTATTCTGTGAAAATGTTAACACATGCATATCTCATTCGTTTAAAGTCGGATTGACATGTAGTTTTTTTTATAAAGTGTAGTTTAGAGTTTGTACATGATTTCAGACTATAATTTTGTCAATTTTAGTTTCATATTCAATGAGTTACAGCCCTCAAAGTCGGGATATCAATATGAAAAATTTCAAAGTTCAAACCACTAAGTAGTAAGTTTCTACCAAAAAATTCCGGCTTTTTCGGGTTTTCCGGTTCTAAACCCACTTTATCCGGTTCCAATCTACCCACTTTGATGTTTCCAAGTTTTTCGGTTCTAGACCCACTTTACCCAGTACCGTATCCAGAACCGAACCAAAACCGATTCCTATATACATGTCCGATTTTCAGTTCTACAAAATCTCATTAACCGGTTCCAGGTTTTCCGGATCCGGGTTTGGATCCACTTTCATCCCTAGTCACCACTGCATCAATAGCCTTCTTCTTAATAGAACATAAATGTAAGAAGTCAACATAATATTTTCAATAAGTGTTTTTATAACTTGATATAAATTTTAATATGAATTTCATAATAGTTTAATATTTAAAAGAAGTAAAATTCTTTGAATTTTAGAATCCACCCATATCTTCCAAAAAATAATTTCAGCCACCATCTACCAAAAAAATAATAATAAATGAATAAATAAAAATGGAACTTTAAACTATGAAGCACCTAAACATTTAATCAAACATGAACTCATCTATGAGCATGTGCATTTTGAGCTTTTGTCTTCTACCAACACATAATAGGTCCCACTATATTATTAATTTTAAATATTAGATCAACTATTGATGCATTCATATATATATATATATATATATATATATATATATATATATATATATATATATATATATATATTTCTAAAGGTTGTCGCTTTTACTCCTCTTTCATGTGGGGTTTAGACTTTTGCCACAAAATTATAAATTTTGGGAATTTTTATCCATCCATTGTCTATCTCACCCGATCACAGGTTGCACCGCCTTTACTAATCTTTCTCTCACTTTCTTCTTTATCAGATCGATTATTTCCGTCTTCCTCCTCTATATGAACCCACACATCGGCGTAATCATTCGTTTCACGTTGTAGGCTTCCAATCGACTTTTCCACCTTCGAACCCAAACCCAAACTGCCATTCACCGGCTTCTTCTTCTCCACATCTACTTCCCACCATCTACTCTAATTGATTTGTTTTCTGCAATCATCGACATCTTTGAACTGCTACATCTCTCTTCTATATAGCTCTTGCTCGCTTTTGTAATAGGTCCTGGTAAGGGCTTGAAAATCCACCACATGTGCTTCACTTGCTCAACATGTTTACGTGGACCGACTGTATAGGTAGTAATCGGAACTCCGGGAGGCCGACAATAGGCCAGGATTGCAACAGGTGAATCGGCTCAGCCTAACATTAGGGATGGCAATGGGGCAGGTTTGGGATGGGTTTTGGTAATCCCACCCCCATCCCCGAATTTGAAAATCGATCCTATCACTGACCCGATTCCCAATGGGTACCCGTTTACCAAACATTATCGGGTCTGCGGGTATCCTAACGGGTTAACGGGGATCTCCGTTTAACATTCAAATTAAGAATAATTTTGATGCAATGAGAATACAAAACCATTAGACTTAGTGATACAAACATAAATTCATTTCCAAAATAATTTGATAATTTAAAAAACCATTAAGAGCAGACATATTTGTTCTGATACATAAGTGGTTACTAGTGGCAAAAAAAAAACAATAAAGACACTAGCATTCATAAACCATAATATCACTATTACTCTAAGTATTATGAATAAAAAAATGTCAAAACACTAGCACTATAAATAAACAAGAAGCTATCTCGAGAAATTATCTTTAAATCGTTCACAACAAAGAAGATAACTCAAGGAAATTAATATATATATATATATATATATATATATATATATATATATATATATATATATATATATATATATATATATATATATATAATCATATGAACGGTTTCAAGTAACGAGTTTCGGTTTCGGTTTTGGTTTCGGGTAATCGGGATGGGTATTTTGTTTACCATCCCCGTAACCAAACCCGTGAAATTTTTCTAAAAGCATACCAAACCCGATCCTGGCCTGATTACCGACCCCAAACCCAACCATGATATGTCGGTTTTCGGTTTTCACCATCGGGTTCGGTTTCTTTTTCCATCCCTACCTAACATCAATCAGGTACTTTATATATACATACATTACGTGGGTTTATGAATTATTCAAATTTTGTGTTTCAACGTATTCAACGTCACCGAAATTGTTTCAGTATCCTTAGGTTCCTGTCAATTGATGAACAAAAAAAATGAATGTGTGTATGATTAGGAACGGGAGAGGTTCCGATTCTCTTGTGACTTGGCTCCTGCTCATACGCTGCTTCTATGCAAAGTCCACATCAGTGAAAGCTCAAAGCTCAAGCCACTGGTTTGTTTCATTGGATTATTGTTTCTATTAACTTTATAATTCCATCCAATTTTACCTACAGTTATCTGTGTATTGGGATTTGACTAACAAGTGTTGGGTTAAATGTTTTACATAAATAATTATATCAGGGGATTATTGTTTCCCTAGATTTGTCCGCTAATCGGGAAAAGCAATCACTATCTCAAAACGATGCTCAGAAAATTGAAGGTTTGCTTATCGAATTCGTTCCTTATCTATGTCAGGCGATTGTTAAGGCTTTAGCTGATTGCATGATTGATGCAAAAGAAAACTTAGATATATCAAAAAGTTACCAGTATGCTTTTTTAAAGTCTTTTATCATTGTAAAAGTCAAACTTACTTTGATCCTTAAGGAAGAGTATTGATCATTGTGCCACATGTTATTTAGATCCTACGGGAGCAGATTTCTTGGCTTGAAGCTACAAATCAGGATCTGTGTCACAAACTTGATGAGAATCGCAGTAGAGGCGACACTATTGATCATCAATCTGTCTCTAAAGTATGTAAAAGTTTGTAACTTTTGTCAACATTTATAAAAAATAACCAATTTTACTCCAATTTTTCAGGTTGGTGATTCTTTTTGCGTGAAAACTTAAAGGCTTAAAAGGGTTTTGCGAAGTATCAATTCATCAGATTATGAAATGACTGAAAGTGGTAAGCTTAAAAAATATTATACAGATGTAAAATTATTTGTATTTAATCTTTTGTTAATGACAGTAAATACAAGCTATTCTGGTGTGATATAGGAAGAAACAACAAAAGAATTGGAGCATCCCCTTCTCCAAGACTCCATGAATAAAGGGTTACATGAATTAAATAAATGACTAGAACAGAAAGAATCAGAAATGAGAGTTTTTGAAGGACCGGATACCATGACTCTTAAGCAACATTTTCAAAAGAAATCAATGGAACTTGAGGATTAAAAAACAGGCAGTTCAGGTAAAAACATAAGCATAAAAACACTATAGTTTTAAAGTTGGATTAAATTTAAAAAAAAAAAAAAAATTGATGATTGATGTTTTCTTGCTCATTTTTTTAATTGTTCAAGTCTCTTGAATCACAAGTTAATAATTATAAATGTTTATGTCTTCTTAAGCATTTGATGAATATCTAATTAACATAGCGTTCTTTTTTGTGGTTGTTGCTTCAAGGTCTTTGAAGATAAATACCCTTCAAGTAATATTAGTTTCCTGTTCATCATAAATCTGCTGTTTTTGGCCCATATACCAACTATCATGTAAGTAAATCATAAAGCTCATAGTAAAATTATTATTTAATTAAAATCACAAAACTTAATTGCCAAACAAATTCATGAATAAAAATTGGTTAAATTGCAATTTTTCATTCCAATTTAGAGTCAAGTGAAGGATTAACAAAATGGAAGGAGTCACATTCCAAAGTAATGGAATGAGTGATTCCATTCCGTTTTGATTCCATGAAATCAAGAGGTAAATTTATAGAATCAAAAGTTAAAAATTAACTCTCCAAATGCAATGCAAGTTTATGACTAAGTTTCTGACCGATCTCTTTTGGGTGAGAATGTTTCATCACCTCTACAACCAAGGATGAAACAATATTGTAGGGTTACAAAAAAACTTACCCACCTTTTCAATATAACCATAAAAGCTTTTAGTGAAAATGTGGTGGGTTGAGAGTTGACCTACAGACAATTTTTCAACCTGTGTTGAGATTCGGTGAATAATTAAAGGGCATTGTAGAAAATAACAATGTAATTTACTTTTTTTGTAACAGCACGGAGTTTCCAGGTATTTATTATTGGTGTATTTTTGGAAAATTGTGAGTGGACTCGGCGAGTTGGAGCTCAAACTCGCCAAGTAGGATCGCGATTCTTGACGTGGGTTCGCGTCTGGACTCGGCGAGTCCACGCTGTGTAATGAAACCCTAATTCTCAGGGTTTAAGACCTATTTAAAGGGGCTTATGGCCATCATTTGCAACCACCAACCCCTAGAGAGAAATCCTAAAGAGATTTGAGCGTTTTGGGAGAGAAAAGAGGCCATTATTGACCTTTGGAGCTTGGTTTGGCAAGGCAAAGGAGATTCTAGCTAATAAGAGGCAAGGGAAGTGGACATTCTGTGATTTTGGAGCTCAAAGCATCATTTTGGAGGTATATCTTGGCTTCCTTATTCGTTTTTATGATGAACATGGGGGTTTAGGGTTTCTTGACCCCTTTGTTGGCTAGATTTGATGTCCATTTCATCCCTAATCATGATAAGGCTTGAGATGAGATCCATAGAGGTCCAAAAGAGCTGTATTCCTTAAGCTTTAGGAGTGTTCATGAGAGTATTGGCCTAGAGTTATGAGATATGGGGCTAAAACATCATTTATGAGCAAATAGTTGTTGTTTGAGCCCCAAGGTTTGGACTTTACATGATTATCATGCTTGGGGAGGCCAGATCTATGAATGTATGGAACAGATCTGACCTCAGGAGTGAGTTTGAGTCGTTGCATGGCATGGACTCGCCGAGTCCGAAGAACAGACTCGGCGAGTAGCATGAAGATTGCCCAGTACCACTCAGCGAGTGCTCTTGCCAAGTTAAGGGATTGACTCAGTGAGTCAGGGAGATTCAGAGTGGGTTGACAGGTGGACTGAGTCAAGTTGGGACTCGCCGAGTTGTTCTTGAGACTCGGCGAGTTGAGTCGTGGAGGCCCCACAACTCATTCTAGGTAGAACTCGTCGAGCTAGGAGAATACTCGTCGTGTCAAGTGAGGATCCTAGGGAAATCAGTGTATGCGCATAGACTCGCCGAGTCGCTATAGTGCACTCGCCGAGTCCGATCAAAGTTGACCGTTGACCGTTGACCATTGACCAGTGTTGACCTATGTTGACTTGATAAGGGATAGTCAACCTTAGTTGTGAAGTGTTATTTAGAGATGTATTGTATTATAGGAGGACTATAGATCGGAAGATCGAGCACGAGTGATTTCAGGGACTTGCGAGTTACCGAGATACGCGAGGTGAGTCTTCTCACTATACATACCTTGAGTAGGTAACTAGAGTTATGTGATACAGTGTTTGTATGCTATATTTGTGTTATGTGTTGCGCTGCATTATTCTTTGTGATTTATGATGTGCATGTTTACAGAGTTAGAACCTGAGGGTTCACAGAGTTTGGGTGCATGGACCCACAGAGTTATAGCCTCGAGTGGCTAATATGTGTTATATGTGGTATTTTGGGGAACTCGCTAAGCTTTGTGCTTACAGTGTTTGGTGTTATTGTTTCAGGTACTAGTGACGACCGCGGGAAGGCGCCGGCTTGATCTGTACACACGCATGGGATTTATGATTTTGAGATCTTGGGATTTTTGTATTACTTGAATTGAATTCCAAACATGGTTGTTTTATGAATATCAAGTGAATTATATTTTTATAAAATTCGAAAAAAAAATTGTCTTGAAATTTACGGTGTTACATTTTTTGTCGTAATAATATTGTAATCTTATTTTTATTACCTAATTATCTGGCTTCACACTTTGTCCGAGACCATGCCAGAGAGCATTGTGCCTTAGTCTCTAAATTTTTACTTGCCTTTAATAAAAAAAATTAATATTGATTAAACATTCACTACAATACTAGCCTTGGTAAAGTAAAGGGTAGTTTTGCAGTTTTTAACCATATATATATATATATATATATTATATATATATATATATATATATATATATATATATATATATATATATTCCATTAAAACCATCAAAAATAGTTAACTTGGAAAAAAAATGATTTGATTATATATATATATATTCCATTCAAACCATCAAAAATAGTTAATTTGGAAAAAAAATGATTTGATTAGGAATAAAGCACAAGTAGATAAAGTGAAAAATTACCCAAAATGTAACGGTTTTTCTGTAAGTATAGCAATAATTTAGTTCTCTAACCTAATAGGCATTACAGGGTCATAATAAATACAACAACAAAGGCTTTCTCTAGTTTTTATATTATTAATCATAGGTTTAAAGGTTAATTTTGAATATTTTTATTAAAATGATCACTTTTTAATTATTTATTTAAAAGTGTAAAAAAATTATAGAAAAATTATATATTTAGCATATTTCGTTTACTTTTTGAGTTCATCATTGCCATACACTCTGTTCCCAGGTTGTAGCAAAGAAAAGAAGAGACGAGAAAAGAAAGTAAAGATAAAAAAGAAGAGAAAAAAAAAGAAAACAAAATTCGTCTTTTCTGTTTCTGAATTGAAGAGAAGTGGAAGGAAAATTAAACATTTTAATATTTCTCTACAAATCCTTCCAAATCGGAAAGAAAGTTAGGAGGGAAAGTGATCATTTCATTTCCTTCCATTTTCTTCCTTTAATGAAACTCGAGACATCAATTTCTTTTACTTTCCTCTCACTTTCACTCATTTCTTTTCTTTGCTCTCCTTAAAATGAACTCGAAAACGGGGTGATAATATAAAGTATAGATGAAAGAAAGATAAGTTGTGTTAGAAATATGGTTTAGTGGCACTTGGAAATCTGAGAATCGTGATAATCACTTTCAAATCGAAGTCTTTGGGTGGTACTCCCAAATCCTCAATTGGATAAGACTCAGATAAAATCAAAGAGAAAGAAAGAGAGAATGAGATGGTGTAATTTTCGTGAGTACCAGAAAACTGACTAAAAATTGGTTATATACATTCCTTGTCTGAAAAACTATCAAAACTGTCATATAACAGTTTTTCTCAACAGTCAAAACTGTTATAAATCCGGGTTTGGTATAAGGATTAATGCAAAGTCAAAACCGGGTCAAATATTCAAAATTTGGATTTTCTGATGCATTTTCGATCCCAGCCAGGGGCTCTGCCCCTTGGACCCCGCCAGGGGCTGCCGCCCCTTGGACCCCGCTCCCAGGGGCGCTGCCCCCGGACCCCTGTTTGTTCAGGGGTTTCGCCCTTAAATGACAGTGTACTTTGATACTTGATCAAACTTAAACAAGTGTGTACTCCACACCTTCCTTACTTGTTTAATATTTATCAAGATCATTTTTAGTCAACAAAGTAATCCCATTACACTTAAATAACATTGATGATAACAAATCACCAACAAGTTGTTACATAAATATATAACAAATAAATCACTATGTTAGTGTTTAGCCTAAATTTATTTTCTTAGAAAATTACAAGTTTTAAGATGACACTTTAGATTTTTATTGATTTTTATATACAAAAACTTTTATATAAAAACACAAAAATATATAGGTCCCAATACAACTGTATTCACGAATTCAAGAGGTTAATGTAGAGTAAACAATAATCAAAAGCAAAGGCGTTGGGTTGTAGTTAGTTGAGTCAAATTGTATCCCTTTGAGCTCCATACATCCACTTTACATCCGGATGGTAAAAATAGAAGTATACGAATGGTATATATATATATATATATATATATATATATATATATATATATATATATATATATATATATATATATATATATATATATATATATATATATATAGCGAGAAAAGAGAACCACCATATTTGGCACATACAACACCACTTGCACATATAGAGAAAGTACAGGAATGGTCATACAAAGTAAAAAAATACATAGCTTTTTTTTTAAACAGCTGAGAGAAAGACTATCAAAGCACAATGCTAAAATAGGGCTGAAATAGGCTAATGTAATCACCTCCATTTCCAGTTTCAATTTAATCCAAATCAACCTTTCGGATTTTCAAAATCGGCAAACTTTAAATCAAAATCAAAACGATTAAATTATATCAATAAAATTTCCGGTTCAATTCAAACTTTGGAATTTTCAATGTCTCACTGAATTGGAATTTTCAAACAAACGACGTTCGACTGAATCCAAATCAAGGAAGTAGTGATTAAAAAATAGATTTATGAGGGATTTTAAGTGACAATAACAGAGTATGGTGATTACTGGAGATAGATGAAGAACGGATATGTGAAGAACGACCTGTAGTAGCAATCATTTTCGGTGGAGGCTTAATCAATGAAGAGACTGGTGTAGACTTGTAATCGTCTATATAGAGAGAGATGCAGAGGTAAATTTGGAAGCAATTACCTTCATAATTTCTTCGGATATTGAAAGAAACGCACGCACCCGCAAGGCTCACATTTAATATTACGAATAGTTTACATCTCCCTCTACTAAAAAGTAATTCTTTTGTCAATCTAAATAATTTGTTGCACTTGTCAATCTAGTTCTTCATTTTAAATTTACTAGTCGAATATCCGCGCGTTGTACAGAAACACCTATATAGTTGAAGTTTTTAAAAATATATGTTTTTCTTAAATATAGTAATAAAGTTGTTAAATTTGATATAATAAAGTTGTGTGTTACTTAGACCGGTTTAGAATATATTGATCCGATTTTGTCCCTCTTTGGTCCGAATTGATTCGATTTGGATCGAACTAAGTTGCGGTTTTATCGACGAAAGTTAACAAAGTTAATGTAACCGGGTTACCCGCTCCCGAAACCGGAACCTCCGGTTCCGGGACTGGTTCCAAAAATTTAAGAATTACCTAGAGCGGTTCTAGTTCCAGTTTTAACTTTCTAAGAACCGCCTGTTCCGGTTCTCGCCAAATGAAACGAATACCCGTCTATGCTCGTCCCTAACTGAGTTGATCGGTGAAGTGGACATGGTTGCAAAAAATTAGAAAATTTAGTTACTAAACTGTAACAAAAATAATACAACGTTTAAAATCAATTTTTTTTTTTAATCACTATGTTTTTTATACTTGTTTTAGTATCAATAATTGTGAAATTATAGTACATTGCTTATGTCGCATCAATGACATCTTTAGGATTTAGAATTTATAATACTTTTTTTATCCTATGAAATTGTATTTTGTTTATATGATATTAGAGTAAATTACTGAAATTGTCCTAATGATTTAGTCAAAACTGCACGTTTGGTCGCTAACTTTTTTTTGCACTCGGATCGTCCCTATGGTTTGATTTTGTTGCGTTTTTCGTTCATGTGGTTTGATTTTATTGCATTTTTCGTCCCTTACGTACATAAAGTTAGAGACCAAAAATGCAACTTTTACCAAACCATAGGGACGAAAAACGCAACAAAAACAAACCACAAGGACGATCCAAGTGCAAAAAAAAAAATTACGGACCAAACATGCAATTTTAATCAAACCACAGGGACGATTTCAATAATTTACTCATAATATTAATGTAGGCTCAACAGATAAATCTCAATGATGTAATAGAATGCTTTTGCTATGGGCTTCGGCCCAACTATAAAAACAGAATTGAAGCCGAGTTCTTAGAATTACAATAGGAAAACCAAACGTCATAACGTTTCTTGTTAAAAAAAAAAAAAAAAAATCTTTGCGTACATTTCTAACCTAAAAATATTATGAGACAGAATATACAAATCACCACCAATCCAAAAAGAAAAGCTCCAGTTTATGATAAGTTCATGATATGAGAGAATCAATTTTATTGACGAGAAAATTGAATCGATTTATAAAATGAAGAAGAAGATATGCGTCACCTCCAAACAGTCTCATTTGCATCAGTGAAAATGGCATTGTGATGTTCTATCAGACATTGTAAAACCTTTATGCCGTTGAAGTCAATTCGCACCCCAAATCAATGTCTTTTTTTTTGGTACATCTAAGGTCCCTAAGCTTTTAAATTCTGTACCGAAAACATCAAAGGTTGAAGGCTTGAAGCACATGTGATTCCAACCTAGGACCACTATATGTTGAGAGTTTATTTAGCATTTAAACTTTAAACCCGATAAGTATCGTAAATTTCTTGTCTGAATCCAAATAGTTGGTTTCTTGTGTATACTTAGTATTGAAATGATGGCATCTCGAATTTTGATTTGTTATTTATTCTAAATTAAAGTCAAAATTAAGAATAAAAAGTGCTTTCTTCTCTTCACATATCTACCATAAAATGTTCTGTTCTTTATCATTAAATCGGCTATCCCGGCGGAAAGCATATACAAATGCAGAGGACAAAAAAAAAAAAAAAAAAGTCTACCCGGGGGGAGAGAGAGAGAGAGTATGGCATTTTGTCGTGTCTTAATTCAAAGGTATTTTAGTATTTAGAATTGATTGGTAGCACCCGTTGGATTGCAATTGCAATTTATATTGTAAACGACCAAGAATTGGATTGAATACAGAATATTAACAAATGATAAGTACTTGTTATAATATATGTTGCGTGAAAGCCAAGGTGATGCCTTATCTAGATCTTGTTGATTAGAGCTAGTATTTTGAAACATGTGTAAATTTGGGTGCACATCATTTACGAGTCCATATGTTTGATTGTACATCACAATTTTGATATGATCCGGTGTGATTGTGTATCCAATCAAGTGTGGATATATATGTATATCGTTTGTGGATTTTAATTTAGGACATGCATTGCATTCATATTGGCATATTGCTAAAGTTGTCATCTATTAATCATCTTGTTAGTTGATTCTTTTTTGTTGGTCATAGTTTCTCGTAGAGATAGTGTAACAAAAGTAATCAAGGAAAAACAATAAAATCAACACAAAAATTTAATATGGTTCAACCACTGTGACCTATGCTACAATGTCTAGTCTAAGCATTTTTGTTTCAATGTTCATCCAGGTATGTGAAAGATTTTTAAAGTTGTAAAATATAGTCTTACTCTTATAGAATATGTAGCTCTCATGGATGAAAACATTGGTCGAGGGGTTGAGTGATCAGCTCAATACTGTACACACACATCGGGCTTAGTGTTTGATTATCTGGTGAAACCTATGTTTGTGGTGTATGTGATCACTCAGGTTGTCGAAAAGCTAGTTGATCATTTAAAAGATAGTTTTTTATATGAAAAACTAGCTGATAACTAAAAAACTAATGAATAAAAAATGATGTTTAGGCTGTGTTTGACGTGCCACAACTAGCTGAAAAGCTAGTTTATTTTTTGAGCGTTTTTAAATTATCATGTTTGGCAAGCCAAAAAGCAGTTTATATGCTAGCTTATAAACTAGCTTTTTAAGAGTTTTTTTAAAATTTTCCAAATATACCCCTTAATTAATTATAAAATCACATTCTTTTAAATGTCTTTTTATGTAATTTCATATTTTTCAGTTAGCTTTTCAGCTAATTTTACCAAATATCATTTTTTATCAACTAATTTTTCACCTATCAATTAGTTTTTTATTTAATAGCGATTTTTTATTTAATAGCTAGTTTTTCAACTAATACGTCAAACATAACCTTAATAAAACTAACTGATAAGCTAGTTGAAATATATCAAATGACGTAAAAAGATACTTAGAATAATATGTTTTCTATAATTAATTATGGATATATTTGGAAATTTTTACAAAACCTCTTGAAAAACAAGTCTAAATAAATTTTTATAAAACAACTTTATAAACTATTTTTTAACTTGTTAAACATGACAAATTAATTATACTCGAAAAATAAGCTAGTTTGACACACCAAAAAAAAAACCCTTAGATTGCAATAAATGAACGAATTTGTGTGTGATAAACCTAATCCTTATACACATACACAGTAGGGGATGGAAATTATTGCTATTACATGAGTCAATAATTGGCGTAGAAATTTGTTGGGGATATTAGATTTTCTTTTTGGTGGTTGGACCCCAATCTTAGGAGAGGGTCTTGACACATGAGAATGTCTTCATTTGAGATCGATCGTACAAGTGTGAAAGGATATATATATGCCATCACTTCACTTCTCAAAGTTTTAAATTGAATCTTTATTTTATTATTTCATTAACTAAATATATAGAAAAAAGGCATATCCTGAAGAAAGTTGCAAAGTATCTTAACCACATAACAAGGACCCCAAACATCTTAATCCATTGTAGGCGACATCACATAAAAATAAGATGTTTGGAAAGAGATTGAATATTGTTGGATGAAGAGTTGAAGATTATCTATTATTATTATTCAAGTTTGTCCAAAAATGTAGGTTGATTAGTAGAAGCCAAAAGTCTAGCCCACATCCTATCCGTCAACTTAACAACATTTGTAGCCTCCGTCACTCGCTGCAATTATAATTATAAATTATAAATATTAATTGGCAATAATAATAATGTAAATATGACATCAGAGTAAGAGTTGCTTGATTACCTGTATTGGAATATATGCATGTCTGCTGTTGACAGGTCCAACTGTAAAACCAGAGAACCCTGCCATGGCCCCATGAACTGCACTTTGAGCAAGAAGTGTACAATAGATATTATCATATGCATTGCTTGGAACAGCCCGTATCATGTATGTTGGATCTGCAAGGGTACAATCGTCATTTCATCTCATCCACCCACTCTACCCCCCAAAATATATATATATATATATATATATATATATATATATATATATATATATATATCATTCGTATTCAAGTGTGTACCTATATATTTCATGTTTATGGCCATTTTCTTGTCGGTTGCAAAATGGTTTTTAATTTTGTGAGTCAACCATTGACCAATATCAGTAAGCAGTTTATTTCCAGATGCATCTCTCTCTTCAACTGCATTCACACCATCAGAAACATATTCTTGACCTGCGCCTTCAGCAACCACAATCACCACATGCCCGTTCTCTTTGAGTCTCTGTTGAATGAACTCAAAAAGACCACCTTGCCCTTCTAGATAGAATGGAGACTCTGGAATCAAGCAGCAATCCTGTTTTACAATTACAATAATATCCATAACACCTATTAATTATATTGCATTACAGATTAATAAAACTAATAATATTACAAATTTGTTATTTAGTTACCACATCTCGACTTGCCAGCGTGGCAAACATGGCAATGAATCCTGAAAAAGGTCAAACAAGTTTGGAAGAATCAATATCATGAGTGTGTATACATATATATATATATATATATATATATATGTGTGTGTGTGTGTGTGTGTGTGTGTGTGTATGAAGATAGATACTTGCCACTGTATCGACCCATGAGTTTGACTATTCCAACTCCATTTTCAACACTTTCCACTTCCACATGTGCAGCATTTATTGCTCTTTGAGCTTCCTCTACAGCAGTATCAAACCCAAAAGATTTGTCGATTACCTGAAAACAATTATGTAATATTATTATTATTATTATTATTAACCTCCATTTTAATAAAAGAATGAAAAAAAAGAAATGGTTTAAATAACTTACAGCAATATCATTATCAATTGTTTTGGGGATCCCAGCTACTGCCACGTGAAGGCGACGCCTTTCAACTTCCTTTCAGAAAATAACAAAAATAAATTCTTTTTTTTTTCAAATTAAATCCTGTATGGGTGAAGTGTCTGAATGGATAATGATGTATGTTGAGAAAAGTGTTGTATAAATATATAGGTTTGTTTCTTTTCCAGACCTGAATAAATAGTCTGAATCAGACTAAACGACCATTTTACCCTTACGTTATAGCGTGATAGGGAAAACGAAGGTCAAATAGGTAAAGGTTTAGTGTCTTAATACATAAAGACAGGTTTTTTGGAAGTCAAAAAAGAAACAACCATGTATAGCTGTCCACATTAAGTGCTTAACCTATTAAGCACATTAAGTGAAAAAAGAAACAACCCCTTTATAAAGAAATTGAAAAAGAACATAATCGTCAAAAAAAGCAATCACCTTGTAAATGGCAGCTGCTCCTTTTTGAGTGCCATCACCACCAATTATGTAAACCTAAAAGTAAAACACCAAGATTTTATAAAACTTTTCTTGAAAAAGATCAAATTTGTTGTTGTAAAGGGAAATAAAATAACAATAACAATATAACATGAACCTGATTTATCCCACGATCCTGGATGTTATCAACAATCTTGTTTGTATCATGACCACCTCTTGAAGTCTGAAGAATAGTTCCACCACGTTTATGAATATCATTCACAATTTTTGGAGTCAATTCCATGGTGTTTCTTGAATAGAAACCCCTATATCCTCCCTCAATCCCAAGTACATTATTAACACCATACATAAAATTCAACCCACATACAATCTCCCTGATGACTGTGTTGATCCCTGGGCATAATCCGCCACATGTCACAATACAAGCACGTACTTCCTCTGGCTTGAAATAAACCTAATGTTTTATAAAATTTCTTAGACCAATATGAACTAATAATGTGTGATGTTATATGAAAACTAGCTTAAACAAATCATCACATATTACCTTTTCACGAGGTCCTGCACGCCTAAAGTGCAATCCTCTTGGACTGCCTTTCTGAACAACAATCTGCAATTAGATGTCAAGGTTTAAGAACAAATTAGATTTCATGGTGAAAAGGGATGTGTCTATGTCACTATGTGGAATGGTTTTAGAGAAATAGTTTATGTACTTGGTGTGCTACAACATCTTCTGAACTAACAAAAGTATTCCTGTGGAAAAGAGTGATAATTCATTTAGTAAGTTGCAAAAGTAGGCATGTATTGTAAAAGATTAGTGCACAAGTTATGGTTATAACTTTATAAGCATAACATTAAAGATCTTGAAAGAAGGAAAAACTTACTTAACTATTGCATAGGCTTGGCTGTACTCTAAAGGATTTGGATATGTCTGCAAGAAAAAATATTAAAATAAAGATTATCAAAAACCAAGTGAGAAAAGAGTCTTATTTAGTTTAAAATGACAAATGTCTTCAGGTTCACGAAATTTTTTTACAGAAAGATGTATCTTTGATCTTCGTAGATTTTGGAAAATGGTTAGGATCGGAACTAAGGGATCATATATGAAGGCTAAAGGATAAAGTACATTAGGTGATTTCCTTTGTTCTATATAAATATACATCAATACGCATACATACATATATGCACACGCAAAAATGAATCAACTTCATTAACATGCCGCTCTCAATCAAACTTGGACTACTCCCAAAAAGGTAAATTTGATTCTTCAGGGTAAGAATGGTGGATTCAAGTTCCAAATAAATAGGATTCCATCACTAAGGCGGATACAGAGATTTTCTTGTTGGTATCATATCTTGCTGATCATCATTTTTTTAGAACATAAATAATTTCAAAACTGAGAACTTGTTTGATTGACTTGGAAAGCGAAACAGAGATGTAAAATACCGGTAAATCAGGTAGGAAGTTCGTCAAGTGAGGAACATCTTCGAGGACGAAACCTTCATCATCATCGTCATCGGTCGAAGTGTTACCCAGATTCGAAGTTTGAGCTCTAGTAGGGTAATAACCGGTGATTAAGGAGTTCCTGGAGTATATTTGCGGTTTAGAAGTGAAATTGGTGAAAAAGAGAAGGGGCTTGTGGAATCTGGGAGAAAATGGTAGCGTTTTAGTGAGAGAAAGCTGAAGATTTGGAGAAGAAGCCAGTGAAAGATCCATTGATAGTATTATTTTTGACTGAATGAATGAATAAATCAAATGCTTTTTCCAAGAGATTTTGGGCGGAGAGACGAGTATATGCAGGTTGAAGTTAGTCTTGGGAACGGCGACGGTCAAATTCGATACAAAATTTTGAGCGAATATATGAATCACCGTCTAAATTTGGACACAAAGTCTTTCTAAAAAGGTAATTTTAAGAGGTGTTTATCTTTTTTACTTTTAACTTTTTTTAAAAGTTAAAAATTAATAAAGTTGTTTGGTAAAGATAAATTGGCCAGAGAAAAGATAAAAAAATTTATCTTTTTGTTTTAAAAATCATGAAAGGCACGTCAAATATATTTTAAACTTCTATCTTTTAGAAAAAGTTTTTTTATAAAAGATCTTTTTATAAAAATAATTTTTATGTTTAAAAAGCAATTCCAATCACACCCTTAGTCTTTATGTTTTCACATCATATTCTTTTAGCTTAAATTTTATTGGGCTGAGCCCGAGCTTGATTTTCAAAGCTCGAGTTCGGTTTCTGGAGGATTTAAAGTATTCGGGTTTCAGTTATTCACAATGCATTAAACTTCATAAAGTTCAATAAATTATCACATCATCTTTCTAAATCCATGCAATTCTATTATTTTTTTTCTCTACAATGCATTCAACTATACAAAGTCCAATAGAATGTTACAAAATGTAATTTATAATAAATATTTAAGAATTAAGAATTTCCATTTTTCCCATTAAAGAGCTCAATGGTCCAAATACATTGAATGCTAATATGACATCTCATAATTGTAGAGTTTTATCCATTGAATGACATATAGATTTTCCACCTCATTAACTCTCCAATTGAGCTAACCATTGTGGATGCCCTAAGTATAAACAAGCTTAAGTCCAGCACGAGCCCGTCTCGATAATAGTCAAATATCAAGCTCGTTTGTGTTTTTAAGTTCGTTAAAAGACTCGTTTATCATTATTTAATATTAGATATTAAATTATAATTTAATATATAAAATTAAAAATAAAAATTATATTATATAAATTTGCATAGGTTCCTTTAGGCTCACGAGCCTAATCGAGCTCAGTAAATGAAGCTCAGACTTGGTCTCCTTTAATAAATGAGACTAAAACTAAGTCCGAGCTCGTTTAACTCAAACTTGGGTTAAATTTTTAATAAGTTGATCCCAAATAGCTCATACGACTCATTTAAACATATTCATTCTTCTAATATAAAGTTATATTTAGTTTATGATATAGTAGGCATAATCGACTCAATGTGTCCAACACATATCAGATTATTGGATTGAAAGTTTAAATCATATTAATTAAAAGAATATAAAACAAAAAATATATATCATATGTGACATAATAACCAATTTATAAGTTTATTATGTAGTTTTCGAAAATGGCATCGCAAACTAACATTAAGCTCACAAAGTAACTCTATGATATACTCGGAAGGATATCACATAACACTTTCCGTTTAAGATTTTGTTCATGCCACGCCAAACACATCGTTCCATGTTGGATGAAAAACTTTTCATTCTTCAAGCTAAATCTCAACATCCTGCTTGAAGGAATCTAACATGACATATATGCATTCTCTCCAACTTACAATCCATTAATTGACCTCAATGCAAACATCACTTGTATTCATCACATCAAGTCTCATGTCTTACTAGTGCATAAAAAGGTTCCATGCTTGAACATATGTTTTCGTACTCTAAGAATGAAGAATAGGAACGATATTATTCTTGAATGCAAGTAGTTTGAAACAAGTGGGGTGTTTGCATATCATTATGGTTGCAAGCATTCATTATTACTAAATTATAAAATAAAATGAAAGTTAAAAGTTCTCAAAACTACTTGATTTTGCTTTTGGATTTAATAGTTTTTTGTTTAAAATGAATACCTTAAGCGTGTACTTCCCAAAAAAAATTATTTAGTTCAAAAATTTTCTCAAAAGCTAAAATCTCGTTCTCAACACATCCTATCATCAAAAATTATGTATGGAATTAGACTTTTAGAAGCACTTCAACCCAAATCTAAATACAATCTCACATCAGGCATTCTTGTATGGAAGACAAGATAGACATCCGAACTTCATTTGTGATTTAATAAATAAACATTACTGAAGTTGCCAAAAGATTTTGTAATTAAACATGAGATAATGAATTTGTCAATAATTTCACACATCATATAAAAAAGGGTACACTAAAAATCAAACAAGTTGGTATAACTAAACCAGCAAAAACGTGGGTACATAATTGCATGCGGAATTTAGTTAACAAAGGCATATGTTTCAACCTCATTGACTCCTTTCAAGAGACATCTTCTATATCATGTATGTAGGATAATTTTGTTAAATAGCAACTAACTATCAAAAATTTCCAATAAAGTCCCAAAACTATTTTTTTTTACGTCTAACATACCATCAATTATGGGTATATTCATTAAACTTTGAAAAAAATGACCATAACGCATGTGATATACCCATGTGTTATGCGTATTAATTTGTGATGTAATATTTATATGGAAATATATATTATAGTTGAACAACACACCCATGTCATGTGTTTAGCATATTAATTCTTGGAATTACATCACAAACTGCTTTCTGTACAACACGCTCTAAGCCAGTACCTTAAATAGTAGATAGCTGGCAAGAGTTCTAAAGACAAAAATGATCAATCATATGTTGAATAACATCTGCCCCATCTGTATGCAGGTTATCATCTTTTACCTACATCCAATAAGGGCATAAAAGTAAACTTACTATTTGTTTGCTTGTAAAATTTCTTTGTTTTTAAGCTTAGCTTACAAGATAAGAAAAAAACAAAAAAAAAAAAGTAGTACCTGAATAACACTATGAGCAGAAAACCTGGATCTACTATTGTGAAAGCTCACATCTACTTTTTCCCATGATACACGAGAAAGACCAGTCACCAGTTCCTCTGTACCACAAAACAAACCTTAGTTTAATTAGGACAAATGAAAAACTTCTCAAACATCAATGATTAACTCTTGTATGGGTAAAAGTGTTGTATACATAATTACATATAGTCTGTTTGTGGACTGAATAAACCTTCTGAATGATACTAAATGACCATTTTAGCCCTTACTTCATAAAAATCACAAGATTCATCAATTTTAACTCGAGAGGAATTGGGAGGAAAATTGAACAAGGGCAAATAGATAAAGGGGTTCGTGTCTTAATACATTAAGCCAGGTTTTTTTACTTTAACCCATTCAGTCATTTTGTCCACATTATGGGTAAAGCAACTGAATGGATAATGTCATGATGATGTTTGACCGGATAAAGTGTTGTATACATCTAGTCTGTTTCTTTTATTTATGGGCTGAACAAACTACTAAATGACCATTTTACCCTTGCATTCAAAAAAAAAAAAAAAATCCACGTTATTCATCAATTTTAACGTGAGAGGAGTTGGGAGGAAAAGGAATCAGGGCAAATAGGTGAAGGTCAGTGTCTTAACTCTTAATAGATTAAGAAACTTTTTTGGCTTAACCCATTAATTTGTGTCTAGATTAAGTAAAAAAGAAACAGCCATATGTCCAGATTAAGGGGTTAACCCATTAAGTTCATTAAGTCGAAAAGAAACATCCCCAAAAACAAACCTTCCACATCATCCGAATTATCGCCACTTGTCAAATCCGGCTCAAAATCATATGCCTTGCAGCGTTCTTCGTACACGACATGAGGATACTTTTCATTTACAGAGTCCTCCCACTACAACCACAATATCAAATATATCAAATACTAACAATTAAAAATGTACACTGATGTATTTACAAAAAATATTAAAGCTTATGATGTATGTACCTTTGGTAATTCTATGTTACGCCTAATTGATGAAGTTCTCCAGCCAACAATATCTAATTTTGTTAGTTAGGGAAAACCAAGGGAAGTAAAGAATGAATCACATATTTTGGTTCCTCAATCATTAAATCACAACTTTGGTCCCAAAAGTAATTAGCTTGCAATTTTGGTCCTGATTTTGACGTTTCGTAACAATTTTGGTCCCTCAATCGTTAAATCTAGCTCGTTAGTTGTTAGGTATTTTTTTAAATGACCATTTAGCCCTTGGACCAACCAGAAAACAAAACAGTCTACCACAGGGAACAATTTTGTAATTTTCTCCTAAATTTATTATTAAACTATTTTCAAAATAATAAGGTATTCTATTAGATTATCTTAAAAAACTACGAGTTTTTAAATAATTTTACCTTAAATGACCATTTTTTCCTTGGCCCATTAACATTTTTTGTTCATAATTTTCAATCTTGTAAAATGTAAATACTAATAGTTTAAACACGGATACAATTTGCAAAATTCAAACTTTTTAACAGATTACTACATATGAAAATTTATTGTAATGCAAATTGTATTCATTTTCAAGACATTGGTATTTACAAAATTCAAAAAATAATGAACAAAAAATGTCGGCGGGCTAAGGACAAAATGATCCTTTTTAAATGAAAAATAACTAAAAAAAACATTCCTATAAGATAATTAAAAATAAAATACATGATAATTTATAAAAAAAGTTTGATAATAAAATCAAGAGACAATTACAGATTTGGTCCCCATGGTATGCTTTTTTTTCTTCAGGTCCAAAGGGCAAAGAGGTCATTTTGATTAAAAAAAACAAACTAATTGATTAGATTTAGCGATCAAGGGACCAAATGCATCATGTAACATAAAAATATGGACCAAACTTGCAAACCGATTCCTTTTGGGACCAAAACCCAAAAAAATATCACTAAAATTGTAACGTACTCTTTTATATAATATTTTCAGCCACATTAATAGGGTGCAAAGGATACGATCATAGCCAACATTTGCGTATGTGACCCGTCTTTGGAATGAGCGTAATGCTGACCTGGATTTTGTTAAAAATATCAAAAACCAATAGAAGAAACATCTGATAATGTAAATCATTAATTAAAATTCAAAAACAGGTATGCCAAACATACATGAAATAACAATCATCATAATCCTCCAACATCCGTTTAAGTAGTGGAGGCTTTCCCTCTTCATTATCCGTAAGGAAAAGGTGCCTCCCTGTTCTTCTAAATATCCAGTGTATAA